ACTAATAGTTTTTCTTTGAATAAACAACTAGTTTGAGGGTTTAGGTGTGGATGTGGGTGTTGGCAAAAAGAAGATGCACAATCTCACGTATCTACACTCTATATTCACCCAAACCCACACTCTAATAGTCTACCTATTTTTAAAGGTACATCAATGATTTTTTACGTTACTCGATGGAATAAATAATCTTACCTTCAATTATGTGAAAAAACCTTTAAAAAGTTTAGAAGCAACGCATTTTATGTAGTCATTTTTCACAGCTATCAAAAGACCTCCATTCAGTAACATTGATTTTACATGTTTCTACAACACATTTAAAAAAACGACACGACGTAACTGAAAAGAAAAAGCATCCTTAAAACAACAGCATAGAATGTTAGTTCTTATATCTATTCGATAAATACTTTCTGACTGGAGTATATCTTTATGAGTTGATAAGAATATCTTCTTTTTCGAGCATCGTGTAATTAATATTTCTAACGCATTTGTGAATGAAATGCGATGAGATCGAAACAGAAATATTGTTTTAATAAATTTTTATTTTTTATATAAACTCCTTAAAAACGTCTTTTGACATGTCAGTCTATTATAAATGGCTATCATCTACAACAAATATTTGACGAATTCATATGAAATCACAAATTTATTGCACATGTGTTTCTCTTGTTCCCCATCTCATTTTATTTATGAATACATGATATATAACTTATATAATGTTCGAAAGAGACAATTGCTCATCAACTCATTAAAAAATATTCTGCTCAAAAATAATTTCTTGAAGAGAGGTTAGCATGAATAATTTGTGAGGTCATTCCATAGAAAAAAAGTACCGTATATTTTAGAAAGTGCTTCTTTTTCCTGTCGCGTTATTGCATTTAAGAAAGTGTTATAAACAATATAGAGATGCATTGTTTATTGACGTCAAGAATAATTCTGTTGAATCAAAAGAATGCTATCCCAATGAAGCAACAAATTGTGAAAATGCGAAAAATTTTATCATCGTTCCGTGAATTCGTAGAAAAGCTTCAAACACTTATCAAGGATACATGAAACTGATTAGTTAAAGAGTTTCGTAGAAATGTACGAAATTTTTAAAAAGCTTTCGAATTCTTTTCAATTCTGGACACACTTTAGAGTTTCCATATAGTATATGAAGCTGTTTTCAGGTTTCTTAACGCACACGAAACTCTGTCTAGATTCATTAATAACACCATTTTTTCAGATGAACAATATGTATACTAATGAAAATGTTTTGCTCATAGGCAATCCCGAACGAAATAACCAAACTTTAACACCTGGGTGTGGGTTGAAGGATTTCTGCTGAAATGAGAATGATTTTTTAGTTTTGGGGGATATCGTCCATCCCTCAATGTTGATGATATCTCATTGGGCAATCTCCTTTTGAGTCCGCTTGCCATAGTTTGCACAATCTCCTCATGTGTCTAAATAGAAAAAAAAGCAAGTATTCAGTAAACTTTTCACTTAGAACTTCAGGAGAATAGGATGGAAACTGAAAAATTTTGATATTTGTTGAACTCACAATCTTGATCAATTCTGATGTCGAAAACTAAAAATCCCACAGATATAGCATGTCAACAAACTGGGTGACTTTGAGTGTATAAGTGTGCAGACCCAAATCAGCTTCAAGATTGTGTCGATTGATCATGGCAACTTTGTCGTTAAAGACAGCTCGACTATACAGATTGTAAGCGGTAAAAACATTAATAGTCGTCATCCAAATTCTTTCTTATCGATAATTTTCTTCTTCTACATTGGCATACTGCTTTTTGTAAACGTGTTTGAATAGATTCCAAAGTGCCCAAAGTAAATGCATGTTGGCAAAGTAATTCTTCATTGAGATGTGATGAGAAGATAAGCTTTCATACACACTTGATATATGCAAAAGAGAGCAGCTACATCACCATCATCATGATGACTTGTCATAGTCACCTCAAAAGATCAAATCCGGCCGGTGGATCCTACGGAAAAAGATCCGATCAGTCCCTATCGAGTTCAATAATCAGAGTCGTGCAGATTTTACATTGATAAAATTGGAACCATGCTCAATTCTATAACAGATCCGGTAGATTTCGTCGGATTTTGCTATTCGAATTATGAATCTGATTACGTCGCATCATTTCAAGTCTATTAATTCCGTCGTATCGAATTTATTCATAGATCTCTTTTTGAAAGAAAGTCAGAGACATCAGCTTCATCCAATTCTGAACCGGATTATACTAAAAATGAGTTGTATAGAATAGTTACTAAACTAAATTTTCGGTTTTTCAACACGGTTTTCATACTGCGCTAATTTCTTTGCGCATCTGAGGAAGGCATTCTTTGCTATATTAGGTAACATAATTTTGCAGCGATTTGACTGCTTTCATCTTGAGAATAAACAACCTTAGCCATTGGTCGACTCATTGTTCCACTGATTACGTAATTATGGAGTGTGGGTGTGGGTAAAGAACAGAAACACATCCCACACGCACACCAACACTCTCGTTAGTTTTTATTTAATCTTAACAAAAGAGAAATAAAAACGATCCAAATGTCAGTCTAATTATCCGATCGAACGACTTCTATTTCAGGTTCAAAATTCTTGAACAACATTAACCGTATATTGCCAATGAGTATCAATCGATGCCTGAATTCATTCACAAGCAGTAAAATGGAAAAGAGCACAGTTTCTAATTCAACTACTTCATTGCCACTAAAATTTTCTCAACTTTCAATGTAAAAGATATTGAGTTTTCATTTCAACGTGGTTGTCTTCTCAAATTCACTTCAAACAGATCTTTTAATGAAAATTTCTTGAATAGCAACAACACTATCTCACTTTGTATTTTTCAAATTAATTAATTATTGTTCCACTGGAAAAAAGAACAATCTTACATAATATTACATGAAACCTATTACATCAGTAAAATCAGATAAATCCAAATTCAATCATACGCATTTTGAATCCAATGTCTTCGAGACAAATTGCGCTTCAATTTCATCATAATTTCAAACAATGGTTATTGCATTTTCGTATGCAATACTTAGAAAGTGAGTCAAAAATTTCTTATATCATTTCTTTCTTGATATTTCGGTGCATAAATATGTTAGTAATTTCTTTTGTTTTTTGCATTCTATACATTCGAATACGATACATCATTAGGTGTTCTCACTAGACGTGGATACGCAATCGTGATGTATAGTTGGAAAAAATTACACTACACTTGTACATTCGGTGAACTACAAATTGCGTGTGTCTGCTGCAAACAAATCTTATCTTGAAGTATTACTCACTAAGCTTGTTCATCGAATTTTCGATCATCTCGATGCAGAAACAATAGCCTTTTCAATTCAGCGTGTGTGCAAATGGCTCTATTTCATTGCTAATACCTACAATCACTATGAACTAAACTTCCGTTATATATCAAAATCTGATCTGCCTGTCATCACTCGTATTACTGATCCTAAAAACATCATTTCACTTTCGAGTGAACATATTCAACTGCTAGATGCCAATCGACTCCATATTTTGGCTATCAATAGAACTCAGTAAGACTAAGAAAATCCTAGAAGGATTTGTGACCATGCACCACAGGTCCAAAGTTATAGCCGTTTTACTGAATTTTCAGTCTACGGCATGATATCTACAGTAAAGTCAAATGAAGGTATTTCGATGTGATATTCTGTTGATAAAGAATTCTAGTGATTCCTAGCATATACTAAAATCTTCAACCAAAACGAATGCTTTCTTCTTGAGGTATTCAACTTTCAAAAAAATGTCTGCTTGTAACAAACAGATTACAATAACGGATCTGTCCTGTATATTGTATATTTCAAGTAGGAAGCATTCGTTTTGGTTGAAAATTTCGGTATATGGTAGGAATCGTTAACGATCTTTACGGACAGGACATCACATCGAAATACCTTCATTTGACTTTGCTATAGATATCATGCCATAGTCGGAAAATTCGGTAAAGCAACTATAGGTTTGGACGAGTAGCTCATGGGCACGAATCTCTTCTAGGGTTTTCTTGGTCTCAATGAGTCCTACTCGTAGCCAAAATATGGAGTCAAACGACGTCCAACAGTTGAATCTGTTTCCTCGTTAGTATGATTTTGAGTGTTTTGTTTCGCAGAAGACAAGTTACAAACTAAAACTTCAAGTCATTTTTGAGTGCCTTATAAAAAATGATTTTGTCACAAGTCAGTCTGTCTTGTCTTAGAAAATCCTTTCTATCGTACCATAATATAAACAATTAAACCCTGAAAAAAATGAGGCATGTATTCGCTTAATCAACTGTAGAATTCAGCTTACCTTTTTTCAATATGTTTTATTTCGTAATTTTCTCCCAAAAATATGTTCTAACACTTTACAAGTCAAGTTTAGCCATTTGGGCACTCTTATCGAGGAATCCGATCGTATCAAACTACTAATTACGTCACTACCCAGGAACCACATTGAGTTTTTCTTAGCTTTATCAAGCCTTACGTATAAACTAAATTCAAGGCTCAAGAAAAAAGAAATAATGTAGACACTGGGATCGTTAGAGATATTCATTAGCCTTGAGTAAGAGTTTGAGAAGAATACCCTTAAGAGATTACCACATTATCAAATAGTGTTCTATCACAAGAAAATTGTGATTTCATCATATTTGCGACATTTGATTTTGTAATTTCGACCGATCCAAGTATCATTCGAATAAATAGTAACCAATGAAGAACATGAGAACCTAAAAGCAAATGTATTTCAATTCGTATCTTCGTTTTCATTTCAATTGTTTTATGTCGTTCATTTTGTCCTGATTGTTGTTATACATTGGTAGAATAGAAAGAGCTATCCATGGGTGCAACCATAATAGAGCATTTATCGTATGATACAAAAGCTTTTGTTCTTATTTATGCGTCAGTCAAATATACAATTACGTACTGTTAGCGATGATTTTATAAGTTCTATTTAAGGAAACACTGATAGTAAAATATACAATATAAAAATGTCCTGATTAATTGCGAATCAATATTTTTGCAAATAGGACAAGTTGATATATTGATTCGTGAAATGATAGATTGTCGTTGTTTCTTCCACTATATTTGTGGTTCTTGTAAGGTACAAACTTCGGGCTATTTTTATAATGTGTAATGAATTCAGTTAGAAGTGGAACTGCATATTGAGAACCTAGACATTTCCTAGGTCCGATTCCAAATGGAGTCCACAAGTTGTGGTGATATTGTTCTTGTTGTCCAATCGTATCCAATGGAATAAATACTTGTGTGTTGGCATTGACGAGTACACAGCTAACACCATCATTGCAAACTACAATGTCTTTGTCTATGTAGCGCTCAATTATTGGAAATGGATGATAATAATGAATTAACTCTTGAATGGATAGATCTGGGCGTCGACTAGCAGATACTGCAATATCACTAATATTTATCATAGGAGATAAAATAAATGGTTGCATGATGACCGAATAACATTCGGGGGTTGACCATTGTTCACCGAATATATGATAATAATTTGAATGATTTATCAAGTCGATTAACCAGTCAATTGTCCTAAATTTTAAAAGTGGATCCGCTTTTCCTTTCACTGCAAGTTCTTTACGCCATTCCCATGATGCTTCGCAGACGAAATCCCATTCAGGATCCCAGTCTCGATTAAAAATCCATTTGACAAAGCACGCTAATGTGATTCGGACAACTTGTTTTGCATCAATCTCTATATTTGCATCTTGTGTAGATAAAATGTAGCGTACTACACGAGTGAATTGTTCTGCAGACGGGAGATACTTTTGAAAAATAAGAAATTTCGACTTGAGATCTATCCATAAATCGCCATTGACAGATTCGAGAGAAAGAACAGGTGACCAAGCTGGAGTAGCAATTTTTTCTTCAATAAATGAACCCTTACTTGATGTAGTTAGTAAAACTTTTTTGGCTACATCTAAATCTGCTATCCACATCACTTTACAGCCATGTTTCCAACCCAATAGAGACAATATCAAAAATCGTCCATCTGTAAATCGAATGATCAAAGATAATATATGAATAAAATAGTAAAATCCATAGCACCATATAAATATATTAAATCCTAGTTCGATTAGCATTAATTGTTGCCACCATAACAAAATACAAAGCATATGTGTAACAAGATGAAAACAGAATAATGAAACTGTAAAAAACTGAAATGCACCAGATAATTTTCGATCCTTGGCCAATAATAAAAGTGCGGTAAAAAATTGCAAGCATGGGATACCAATAGGTAGGCAGTATAGTGTTCGATCATTACAATACTTCCAAAAGTAAATTGTTGTAACAATGCTATATAACATATATTGACGAGAAATATAATCTTGTAGTATATAGTAGATAAAATGTGTTCTCAAATATTTGGATGCTAGTAGAATACTCAAAACTAATAAAATCCAATTTGAATTCAAGTAACAAGTATGAGCATCAAATTTTGCTTGGTTGACCATGTCTAGCGTCAAATGACATAGCTAAAAGATAATATACCATAATGAAAATCTTCTTCAATCTTTTCTACTAAACGGCAACCGCAATACAACTGAAAAATGAAGGAAGGATCAGCCACAGGCACACATCGGTCAAGAAGAAAATGTAAACCACGACGAAAAATGATGGTTCAATGAGAACAGACAAAAACGCGATAGAGCATAAGCGAAAGTTTAAGTTCCACCAACGAAAAATAAATATTTTCCAAGAATTTGGAGACAACATCGTTTCCAACCTGCTTGGAACAGGTCACAACTATAGTCATCGAATTTTCTGATTTTTATTAATCATCAGATGTGTCCTATATAGTTGTACATAACAAATGTACACTCAGAGTCCATTGAATTCATTCACTTAATTCGTTCTCGTTAAATTTTTCCTTTTCAATATTCGCATTTTCTAACTTCCGTACGATCCCTAACTTACTGTTAAGTGCTCATCGATAGTTTGTCACTAGTGTTTCAGTCTATTTCTTGTGACGAGACTGACTCCACCTCCCATCTAGCAGAGCGTTCTAAATTTGGCAAGAAGATAACGTTGCAGTCAAGTGATGACATGAATGTTAGAATACTCAGTTATTCAGAAAGGTTGTCATTAGAAACGACGAATTGTCTTCATTAAACACGAAGTAAAGAATAATATTAATGGAAATATTCTGCCTTTGTGTCGTCATATATGCAAATCTAAAGGTGTCAGATTTCTATAGGTCGGTCGGTATAATAATCCGACCGGTACCGGGCTGGCATAAACCAACTGATCACCAGGACAGGTTCCATTAATAGTACGAATTTGTGTCAAAAAACTTTTTCAATATTGAAAATAATTAAGCATAACCATGAATGTCTCGAAGAGTACTGTTAAACGTTTTCATTGATAAGTCAAGAAATCTAAGGTCCTGTCTTTATAACTGAGTAATAGCATAAAAGCTGTTTTCTCTATTGCACACCTTGTTTTCAAATGAACTACTATTAGTTTCAAATCAAAAAAGCTTCTCACAAAACATTGAAAACTTTCGAGCGCTAGTAACTAAGGTCAAACGGGTTTCTGCGTTCAACAGAACAGTATATAGAAGATAAATCTGTAACTAATGTCTGTTTGAAAAAAAATGGTCGTGAACAATTTTGCAATAACTCAAGAAAGAAAATAACTAGAGAGTGGCAATTTTCACCAGTCGAAAGAGACAACATCGGGGCTTCTTTTTTTTTCAATATTATATAACACGAAATCATTTTAAAATCAACCATTACTGCAACATGTTGCAAAAAATGAATGAAGACTGTGTCATTCCGATGAAATTTTGATTTCGATATTGATTTCGATAGGGGAACTTCAGACGTTCCTTTTTGTTAAAACTTCATCTCAATAATCGATAGTGTTAGTGAAGTTTTTCAATGTTTTATAAAAATGACTTACGCAGTATTAATGAAGAAGACGTCTCAATATCTCTTCTTTCGACTGATGAAAACCGCAGCTCTCTAATTCTTTCCACTCTTGAGTTATTGTAAAAATGACCACGACCATTCTCTTTTCTTGAATAGACAGTCGGAAGTGCCTTTAATTTTAGAACTCGATTGATTTTTCGGAGAGTTTCTGAGAAACGGTCAGTTTGAGATACGTCAAAATACAAACAGTGCCCCCTTTCTATACTGAAAGGTCAGGGCTCTTCTACAATAGCAAAACAAAGACAACTAGTAGGAAGAGAGGAATGGTTGACGTCATAAATCTACAACTTATATAGATAGAAAATTGTGAAAATTTTGACATGAGTATTGATTTATTCGTCTCGTATGTTTAAATCACAATTCTCGAGTAAAAAGAGGTCAAAGGGAAAACGTAAATCGGCATGTAGGACCGAAATAATTTAGTAATCAGTTTTTTTTTCACAACTCATCCAACTTCAATTGTTTGCCGTCATTCTTCAGGATCATTTGTGTCGCATGAGAAGGGTCACAAATTATCGATTGTCTCGAACAACGAGACAAAAAAACATTACATATAGTCTCTTTTCATAGATCAGTCGATTCAAAACAATGTGAACACAAAACGTATATGGCTACCTACAATCTGTCGATGAATCGTGCTCAATGTCTCGATCAGCAACGTCAATGATGACTAGATTGTGAATCGATGGTGTTTTCTCTCATTTTTTCTCAGAAGAAAAAAACAAATTACACAATCACCACCGATAGGCACGCGTTCAAACGGAAGACAGATAATGGCTGTTTCTGCAAGCAGCAATACATATAAAAGAAAAATATAATTACGGATATAATATCACGTGCGGATTCTCAATCAATGCTATCATTCATAAGCTTTCTGAAAGACTTTCTAATTATGGTGCTCTTGTAATACATGAGAACGTTATATTAAGAAGAAAAAAACAAGGGAAGGATTATGACACGATAAGTCCACCCATTCTCTAGTTATGGAAAGTGGAATTTTGGCTAAAAACAAATATCATATAAACAGCGTCCAAAAAAGATAAATTTCTCAGGACTTCGAGTTTTTCAAGCTTCGAGATAATTAAAAGAAAAGTTAGGCACCACTCTCTTTGCTCATAGATCAAACAGCTGTAAGTGCACCTATTTGACAAATAATGAATCATGTCGATAATTAAATGATCAATTGATAGAGTTCTTTAGAATAATGTTGACTGGGTTTCATAGAGGTTCCGCAGTGATGAATTCAATTATGACTGCTTTTCAGCTTGTTTAAATTTTACCTGATGGCTAATTGTCAATACTGAAGTAGAATTTAAGTTGACGTAGTACGTCAAAATCGAAGATATATTTGGAACGGAGTTGAAGTGAAACATACGTAGAGTCGCCTATCACAGCTTCAAATAGTTTTCTATTATTGATGATTACGATAATGTACTGCTATTTTTATACTTACTTTTCTCCTGTCACGCCCGCTCGTTACTTTTTTCTTCTCTTTCGCTTTCTTAAACATATGTGAAAATGTGACGCATTTATGAAAATACGTACGTCTAATCGCTGATTACTTTTTCTTAATATAACTTTGTCTACATTTTTATTTTAATTCTTGCATTCGTAATATATTTTCATCGATCTGTATCCTACGAGAACTTCTGAGCTTTAAAACAAATCAAATCTAAAAATGTTCACAGCAAGCTAATTATGTCCTTAATGATCGCTTGTGACGTAAGGTAACTGCTGTTATACGTTTCTGCATATTGATTTCATTTCAATTCAATATGCAAATAAACTCGCTCACAGCTGCGTCATTCAAGACTACGTAATCATCATCTACTACAGTAAACATTATCGATGACGCAAAATGATAGGAAGCAAATTATCACTGCGAGTAACTATTTTGATAAAACATGATTAGTAAGGGTACAAATTCAAATAAAAATACACATATGAACAAATGGATAGATGAATCATTACTTCTTAAAATAATAAAATTTTACGCTTCAAGATTTTGTTGCTTAACTATGGATGATTCGTAACTGAAATAAAATTTTGGCTAGCAAGGGAATCGCTCAAAGTGATTGACTGCTTTTGAGTTCATTTTATGGGGATATCGAGAGACGTTCTAGATTTGAATGACTCCAAAAGAATTCAGGGTGTAGGTGTGTTTCTTCAATATATCCACATCCACACCCTATGCTTGGTGCAGTAAAATATTCAATAAAACATTATCTGAATGTAACTATGTTAAAAATTCATTGACAATAATGTTTCGAATTAAAGAACACTTAAACTACAACAGTAAAAGTATTTCTACTGAACGCTTCATAATCCAAGAAAGTAATATAATAGAGAAAAATATTTAAGTTACACAAAAAAAAAGATTAGTAAATGGCTTTTATTATTGTGTTAGATGGATTATTATTTAGCATTATAACTTCTGCAAATAGTAGTTCTGGTGAGCAAGAAACCAACATATCTCAAGAGGATAATTAAGGACTTTTCTCCTAAGCAATGCTAACCATCAAGATATATGTTTTATATTTAAGTCAGAAATAATTGAAAATAATATCATACTGTTTCAATATGAATGAAAACTAATCTCTGATTGAACTTTGAATATTAGATTAGACTAACAAAGACAAAAGAAAAAAATCTCCTTTGTCTATTGAAACAGAAGAACGGATGTTAATTGAAGGCATATGTTTGTTGTTGCTCAAAAGGGAAAACATCATAACCACATAATCATCTACTACTTTAACATTAGTAGACAATTCGGCAATAATCCAAAATACAATGTTATTCGATATTGTTAATAACCTTAATCAAAAATTTGAATGTGTTTATAATATAATAGTCTAGTAAAGAGGTTATTATTACTAAAGTCAGTCATGCATGACCAATTTTTTGCTGACGACAAGCAAGTTTATGAAGGCTTAAGTCAAATTGAAAAATACTATACTGGTGCCAGAGCTGCTTGAAGCTCTAACGTGGAACAATGTACTGGACAAGTTATTAAATGTGATTCGACTTATTTTGTTGAAATAAGATTTGTTTTTTTAATAGTTTGCAACTATCTATTGAATTCTTCTTTCTATAGTCAATACAAAAGAAATACTGACGACGAAAATTATGTCGTTGTTTGGGAAAAAACTATTGACATTTTCAATTAAATAGAAAACAACAAC